CCTGGTTCTAAAAAAAGCATGTTACAGGCGAAAGCCGATGGTGCTGACATACGCATGGTGTACTCACCTCTCGATGCTTTAGAGCTAGCGCGAAAGAACCCTGAGCGACAGGTGATCTTCTTCGCACTGGGCTTTGAGACAACCATGCCAAGCACCGCATTAACCGTGTTACAGGCTGAAAGCGAAGGCATAAAAAACTTCGCATTATTTTGCAATCACATTACCACCGTACCCACAATTAAAGCCATCCTTGATTCTCCAGACATGCAAATTGATGGTTTCCTTGCACCCGGCCATGTCAGCATGGTTGTTGGCGAAAAACCTTTTGAGTTTATCGCCAAGACCTATAACAAACCGATTGTGGTTTCTGGCTTCGAACCATTAGATATTCTGCAATCAATCTGGATGGTATTAAAACAGCTCGCCGAGAATCGTTGTTTAGTTGAGAACCAGTATGCACGCATAGCGCCTGCCGATGGCAACCCACCCGGACTCGACGCCATCAGCCGAGTATTTGAGTTGCGTGAATTTTTTGAATGGCGCGGCCTTGGTTCAATCGACCACTCCGGAGTAAAAATGCGCGAAGAATACGCTCAATTTGATGCCGAGCGGAAATTTACCGTAGCCAATATTAAAATTGCAGACCCTAAATCTTGCCAGTGCGGCGAAGTGCTTAAAGGTGTTATTCGACCATGGGAGTGCAAAGTTTTTGGCGCAGCCTGTACCCCAGAAACACCCATGGGTGCATTAATGGTTTCAACAGAAGGCGCTTGCGCTGCTTATTATAATTTTGGCAATCTGCCAGAACTGTTAGCCAAACGTCAACAAAAAGAAAACAATAACCCTCAGGAGTCGGCCGCATGAGCACAGCACTACCTAAACGCAAGTTACGTGCAGACACTATCACCCTGGCACACGGCAGTGGCGGCAAGGCAATGCGCGATTTAATTGAAGATGTTTTTGTTGGCGGTTTTAACAATGAATATCTTTCGCAACTGGAAGATCAGGCACGTTTCGATTTAACCAGCCTTACAGCAAAGGGTGATCGTCTCGCGATGACCACCGATTCCTATGTCGTTGACCCATTATTTTTCCCCGGTGGTGACATTGGTAAATTAGCCGTAACCGGCACAGTCAATGACCTTGCCGTCGGTGGTGCAAAACCCCTGTACCTGACTTGTGGAATGATTATTGAAGAAGGCTTCCTGGTAAAAGATCTACAGCGCATTGTCGCTTCAATGAAAGCCACCGCTGATGCCGCAGGCGTGGCTATTGTTACCGGCGATACTAAAGTGGTTC